TCCCGTTTATACTAACAGCCGTCCGCGCGGCGCGTGTCGCGCGCAGCGCTCTTGGCATTTTTCTAAGTCGTGTAATTGCGCTCTGGAATACGATCAAAGCTCCTGATGCAGTCATGCTCCAAATGTCTGATCACAGAGGCTGGACCATTGTCGAGTTTCCCGCGTGTCCGACATCCCTGGTGCCACTGCTACCCGAATTATTCCCAATAAACTGAGGATGGACAAGAGGGTGTGCGCATGGGTACCTAATTTTCTTGTAGAAGCACGAACGCAGCCACGCGTTCTATACCTCTAGCAGTAATGTTCTCAGCATGAGATGTCACTCACAACTGTGAAAACGCATCCCGGCCCTTGGTGAAATGGGGGTGGTCTTGAACTCCGAGCCAAAACTCAAAAGTGTCAATTTTGTATGAATGCAGATGAGAAGCCGCCCGAATTCCGAAAAGTTACGTGGGCCTAAGTAACTGATCATCATGGCGAGGGATTTCTGTACTGTGGCTTTCAAGCCACACCACAGAGAAAAAAATCGTTGTCGGTGTACCGCGAATGGATGGTACCACACAACTACAAGAAAGCCACCATAGCTCGTCCTGCTGCCTGGCCCGAGTGATCGTATGGGCAGTGCTCCTACACCAACAGTACTGAAACTGGGATCAATCACCTTATTCGCCGACCCAGAGCAGTTGCCCAATTCAACTGTTTCTATCACTGGGCTAGTCTAAAAACAAAGCGCTATGACAATTTGTCGCTGCATCAACGCATTTTATTTCGCACACTCAGTCATAAGCCTGAAGGTCCCATCCCTCAGGCCTTCCTCAGTCCACATGCAGCACACCGAACAACACTAACTACATTGCAGTCGTCCCCAATACGGGAAAGAAACTGTATACCTCGACGGTGTGCCGGCAGCGACGGGCGAGCTAAATATCTGAATATTAATCATCCTAAAAGCTAATAACTTCTTGAAGAAAAAAACGCGCTAGGTGTCTAGAGGCTCCCTGGGCACTGGGAGCGGGTCACAGATGAAAGATGATTTACTTAACTCTCAGAGGAAAATGTACTTTTATATATTTTCCTGCTTTCGTTTTATTTGAATAAACCTTCACGTTTTATATGAGACGGCCTAATACATTTATGGTATCCATTTCCACCCACTCCACCCCCGACCCACAAATCTATTACTGTGCTGTCCGTCGCTCATTATTAAATTATGTGGTAATTTTGTAAGGAGAAGAGTGTTTACCTCCAATTTTTTCTGTGCTTTTCTGTCTAACAGACGGTTCTAAGGTGTGTACGCTCTGCCAGGCTGGTGGGTAGGGCCATTTAGGAGCTAAATAAAGACAAAAACGATACTCGCATAAATGTTTTCAGATGAGGTCAAGAGCACTTTCGATAGTTATGGAAAAAAAGCTGGTCGGACTTCCCGAGCGCTGTTGATTTGACCGCGGAAACACTTGCCCTTATGAGGATGTTTGTAGAGCCAAGAGCCAGACATTGAGCTTATTTTAGGAGTCCTAGCAACTAGCACCTGCTCTTCTCATGAAACTCCTTGGCCTTGTTCCCATTACGAGTCAGGATAAATTACACTCAAAATCACGGCGTTGCATAAACTCCCTTGGCCCTCTGTTCCCATTACGAGTCAGGATAAATTACACTCAAAATCACGGCGTTGAACTAAGGGCTAGAAAAAATTGCAACAAAGGCAAATGAGCGTTGTTGGTGTGACCGAATGAGAATATAGCGCTTGTATTGTGGGATTTCATCGTATTCGTCTCATAGCAATAAAGCAACGATAAGGAGGCGCACTCGCAGAGGCTAAGAGCCTCACGCAACAAAATATACTCTTCAACGAGAAATTGTCAAGAGCCATGCGGGCCATGTGCGCTTATGCGTGTGTGTGACCACGTTCCACTTCAACATCATTGAAACCACTCGATGACGTCAAAGCCCACATACAGAAACACTAGCATGAAAGAATTGCACAAATTGGTAGAAACCAACCTCTTGCTTACCCCAACCGACACTCATAGGTAAAGTATAAGCCAGTAGATATTTCGTTGAATAGTGGGCCTTGTCTTGAACAGCCTGTATTGGAAACAGACGCAAACTCCTGCTTAATGACATGCCACCGTAGTTTTATTGGTTGAAAATGGGCGTCTGAACGGAAGTACTTGGCGGAGACAAAGCAGCGTACGTTATTGCAACGTAGACGACGTCATCTGATGACAACGTTACGCATAAGATGCGTCATGCGCCACATTTCGTGGCCTATTGATTCGCAAACCTATGTAAATAAAAGGAGCATGAAGATAGAATTTAGAGAATTCGATGCTTAAAGGTTAATAAAAATGCTGAAAATCTGGAAATCAGATGCCAAACCTTGACGAAATTCAGCAAAAATACCGAAATACCGCAGTGGTCCTAGTTGGCCGCGCCTGGTAAAACTTCTATACAATCTATTCAAAAGTTTGAATTAGTAGTTGGGCTTGGCTGAAGATCTCTCCCGACAGCAGTGTTGCAAAGGAAATCGGTCGAATTTTCGGGAAATTAGGAATATTCGTTGAAAGTCGGAGAAATTAAATGCAAATGGCACGATAAATCGGCAAGACGTGCAAGGTAAATAAGCCTAACATGGATGAATTACTTGCTGCACTCGAGCAGCGGCTATGTGGCCCTCCTTTTCCCAACCAAGGGCGACATCAGGGCCTCGCGGATGATCGAACCAAACGACCACATCGCGAAAAGCGCCCGTAACGGCGCGACAGTGGCATGGACTATTTAGTACTCTTGAACTCTTATCACTTAACTTATGAAGTAGAATTGACATAAAGCAAAGTCACATGGATACATGAATATATAATTGCAGCCATATGTATCAGAGCGCTTGTTGGCGCGATGCCAAGGAGGAACTCGTCCGAGAGAGTTCTACCAATGCTATGCGGAACCAAGACTTTTTAGCAGGTTTTGGCTGTTCAACTACGCTTTTTTGTCATTTTCCCCACTATATGGCACCTTTGCTACTGCTTTATATGAGCAAGTCATCAAGTCACTGTACCTCATGCCTTTGAGCAAGATGGTAGGTGGGACTGGAGCTAGAGGGGTTGGGGCGGGTCTCACTGACATGGTTTTTCACAAATCACGATGCTAAACTCTTGTCCAAATAACGACCGTTATTTTAGGAAAGTGGTGTAATAATGAGCGACGCCGTTTCGCACGCGTCCGACTCGTGAGATCCAGAATTCTCTATAAGATCCGCTGGCCACATCAAAAATCAATTGAAAAAATTAATTCAATCTAGGAAATGAATAATTATGGGAACCTTTCAAACAACTCAACTCTATATTTCGGATTAATGGGAAGGGACCTGTGGAGGACAAAACCATACACGCACCGAAGCCAAACGTACTCTACTGTGGAGACCGGCATAAGATGCATTTTCTTGTGAGATATTCCTCTTTCAAAATAGAAAACTGTGATATACAGGGGGGGGCAAAAAAAAGTCATTCCTGGCCGAGTCACATATGAGCGAAGTTTTCGCAGCCCAGACAGAGGAAGTGGATATGAGTACCAGGGCGGAAGATACCCAAGATCTTCCTCTATAAGCAGGAGCCGGCTGCCGCCATTCACCTTCATGTACACCAAAATATGAAGTCATCTCCAGTCGCGGCCTGAGTGGAGAACGCCTTTGGAATTCACGTGGCCTCCAAACAGCTGCGGAACTTCTTGAATGGAATCACCCATGGATAGCTACCTGGAGACCAGTACTCTTGATCTGCAAGACCTCAAACATCGAGCAGCTCCGGCAACGTCGCTACGGTCCAGGACATCATCTTCACCCCATTCACCAAGGCGCGGGTTGATGGTGTGGACCGGCCGTACCTGGAATGATTTTCTATCGCTGGGCCCATAGATGTAAGGTGTGGCGCTGGGGGCTTACATTCGAGCAAACGTCGGAGGAGAATATCCCATCTTCATGTCGTTGCCGTACCTTCTTGGAAACTTTGTACTGCTACAGGATTGGGTGACAACACATTTGATCGAAGGGCGTTGGAAAAACTTTCGCCTACCTTGGAATGGACCAGACAACGTTTGAGCACCGGCTGGAAAAGATGGAGTATTTAAGCGGGGGTCCTGAACTAAACCCCCTCAATTACTCGGTTCGGGCGGAGCTCAACAGGGTGGTCTACAGTGGCGGAGAAATCAACGATCTCGCTCAACTCCGGTACCCACTCACTTTCGCGCGGCCGAATCTCTCGATGGCGCTCCTCA